TCGGAGGGGGTGCTGTCTGTGTGAAGGAGCATCATGAGGGGGTGCTCTCTGTGTCTGGGAGGAGCAGGAGGGGTTGCTCTCTGTGTCTAGGAGGACCAGGAGGGGGTTCATTCTGTGTCTGGGACGAGCTAGAGGGAGTGTTCTCTATGTGCGGGAGGAGAAGGAGATGGTGCTCTCTATGTCTATAAGGAGCAGGAGGGGTTCTCTCTGTGTCTGGGAGGAGCTGGAGGGAGTGTTCTCTGTGTCTAGAAGGAACATGCGGTGCTGCTCTCTGTGTCTATGAACAGGTGGAGGGGATGCTCTCTGTGTCTGGGAGGAGCAGGAGGTGGTGCTCTCTGTGTCTAGGAGGTGCAGGAGGGGTTGCTTTCTGTGTCTAGGAAAAGGAGGAGGGGTCTCTCTGTGTCTAGGAGGAGCAGGAGGGGGTGCTGTCTGTGTATATGAGGATCATGAGGGGGTGCTCTCTGTGTCTGGGAGGAGCAGGAGGGGTTGCTCTCTGTGTCTAGGAGGAGCAGGAGGGGGTGTTCTCTGTGTGCGGGAGGAGCAGGAGGTGGTGCTCTCTGTGTCTAGAAGGAGCAGGAGGGGTTCTCTCTGTGTCTGGGAGGAGCTGGGGGGAGTGTTATCTGTCTAGAAGGAGCATGAGGGGTGCTCTCTGTGTGCGGGAAGAGCAGGAGGTGGTGCTCTCTGTGTCTAGAAGGAGCAGGAGGGGTTCTCTCTGTGTCTAGGAACAGCTGGAGGGGATGCTCTCTGTGTCTGGGAGGAGCAGGAGGTGGTGCTCTCTTTGTCTAGGAGGAGCAGGAGGTGGTGCTCTCTGTGTCTAGGAGGAGCTGGAGGTTGTGTTATCTTTGTCTAGGAGCAGAAGGGGTTCTCTCTGTGTCTAGGAACAGCTGGAGGGGATGCTCTCTGTGTCTTCGAGGAGCAGGAGGGTGCTATCTGTGTCTAGGAGGTGCAGGTGGGGGTGCACTCTGCGTCTAGGAGGAGCGGGGGGGGGGGGGGGGGGGGGGGTTCTCTCTGTGTGTGGGAGGAGCAGGAGGGTGTGCTGCTTGTGCCCGGGAGGAGCAGGAGGGGTTGCTCTCTGTGTCTAGGAACAGCAGGAGGGGTCTATCTGTGTCTAGGAGGAGCAGGAGGGGGTGCTGTCTGTGTCTGGGAGAAGCAGGAGGGAGTACTCTCTATGTCTAGGAGGAGCAGGAAGGGTGCTCTTTGTGTCTAGGAGTAGCAGGAGGGGGTGCTCTCTGTGTATAGGAGGAGCAGGAGGGGTGCTCTCTGTGTCTAGGAGTAGCAGGAGGGGGTGCTCTCTGTGTATAGGAGGAGGAGAAGGATGCTCTCTGTGTCTAGTAGGAGGAGAAGGGTGCTCTGTGTGTCTAAGAGGTGCAGGAGGGGTTGCTCTCTGTGTGTAGGAGGAGCAGAAGGAGGTGCTCTCTTTGTCAAGGAACAGCAGGAGGGTGTGCTCCTTGTGTCTGGGAGGAGCAGGAGGGGTTCCTCCCTGTGTATAGGAACAGGAGGAGGGGTCTCTCTGTGTCTAGGAGGAGCAGGAGGGGGTGCTGTCTGTGTGTAGGAGCATCATGCGGGGGTGCTCTCTGTGTCTGGGAGGAGCAGGAGGGGTTGCTCTCTGTGTCTAGGAGGAGCAGGAGGGGGTGTTCTCTGTGTGCGGGAGGAGCAGGTGGTGGTGCTCTCTATATCTATAAGGAGCAGGAGGGGTTCTCTCTGTGTCTGGGAGGAGCTGGAGGTGGTGCTCTCTGTGTCTTGAAGGAGCAGGAGGGGTTCCCTCTGTGTCTGGGAGGAGAAGGAGGGGTGCTCTCTGTGTCTAGAAGGAACATGCGGTGCTGCTCTCTGTGTCTATGAACAGGTGGAGGGGATGCTCTCTGTGTCTAGGAGGTGCAGGAGGGGTTGCTTTCTGTGTCTAGGAAAAGGAGGAGGGGTCTCTCTGTGTCTAGGAGGAGCAGGAAGGGGTGCTGTCTGTGTGTAGGAGGATCATGAGGGGGTGCTCTCTGTGTCTCGAAGGAGCAGGAGGGGTTGCTCTCTGTGTCTAGGAGGAGCGGGAGGGGGCGTTCTCTGTGTGCGGGAGGAGCAGGAGGTGGTGCTCTCTGTGTCTAGAAGGAGCAGAAGGGGTTCTCTCTGTGTCTGGGAGGAGCTGGGGGGAGTGTTATCTGTCTAGAAGTAGCATGAGGGGTGCTCTCTGTATGCGGGAAGAGCAGGAGGTGGTGCTCTCTTTGTCTAGGAGGAGCTGGAGGTTGTGATATCTTTGTCTAGGAGCAGGAGGGGTTCTCCCTGTGTCTTGGAGGAGCAGGAGGGTGCTATCTGTGTCTAGGAGGTGCAGGTGGGGGTGCTCTCTGTGTCTGGGAGGAGCAGGAGGGGTTGCTCTCTGTGTCTAGGAGGACCAGGAGGGGGTGTTCTCTGTGTGCGGGAGGAGCAGGTGGTGGTGCTCTCTATATCTATAAGGAGCAGGAGGGGTTCTCTCTGTGTCTAGAAGGAACATGCGGTGCTGCTCTCTGTGTCTATGAACAGGTGGAGGGGATGCTCTCTGTGTCTAGGAGGTGCAGGAGGGGTTGCTTTCTGTGTCTAGGAAAAGGAGGAGGGGTCTCTCTGTGTCTAGGAGGAGCAGGAGGGGGTGCTCTCTGTGTCTAGGAGGAGCTGGAGGTTGTGTTATCTTTGTCTGGGAGCAGGAGGGGTTCTCCCTGTGTCTTGGAGGAGCAGGAGGGGGAGCTTTCTGTGTCTTGGAGGAGCAGGAGGGTGCTATCTGTGTCTAATAGGTGCAGGTGGGGGTGCACTCTGTGTCTAGGAGGAGCAGGGGGGTTCTCTCTGTGTGTGGGAGGAGCAGGAGGGTGTGCTCCTTGTGCCCGGGAGGAGCAGGAGGGGTTGCTCTCTGTGTCTAGGAACAGCAGGAGGGGTCTCGCTGTGTCTAGGAGGAGCAGGAGGGGGTGCTGTCTGTGTCTGGGAGAAGCAGGAGGGAGTACTCTCTATGTCTAGGAGGAGCAGGAGGGGTGCTCTCTGTGTCTAGGAGTAGCAGGAGGGGGTGCTCTCTGTGTATAGGAGGAGCAGAAGGATGCTCTCTGTGTCTAGTAGGAGGAGAAGGGTGCTCTGTGTGTCTAAGAGGTGCAGGAGGGGTTGCTCTCTGTGTGTAGGAGGAGCAGGAGGGGGTGCTGTCTGTGTGTAGGAGGATCATGAGGGGGTGCTCTCTGTGTCTGGAAGGAGCAGGAGGGGTTGCTCTCTGTGTCTAGGAGGAGCAGGAGGGGGTGTTCTCTGTCTAGAAGGAGCATGAGGGGTGCTCTCTGTGTGCGGGAAGAGCAGGAGGTGGTGCTCTCTTTGTCTAGGAGGAGCAGGAGGGGTGCTCTCTGTGTCTAGGAGGAGCTGGAGGGGTTCTCCCTGTGTCTTGGAGGAGCAGGAGGGGATGCTCTCTGTGTCTTGGAGGAGCATGAGGGTGCTATCTGTGTCTAGGAGGTGCAGGTCGGGGTGCACTCTGTGTCTAGGAGGAGCAGGGGGGTTCTCTCTGTGTGTGGGAGGAGAAGGAGGGTGTGCTCCTTGTGCCCGGGGGGAGCAGGAGGGGTTGCTCTCTGTGTCTAGGAACAGCAGGAGGGGTCTCTCTGTGTCTAGGAGGAGCAGGAGGGGGTGCTGTCTGTGTCTGGGAGAAGCAGGAGGGAGTACTCACTATGTCTAGGGGGAGCAGGAGGGGTTCTCTCTGTGTCTAGGAGTAGCAGGAGGGGGTGCTCCCTGTGTCTAGGAGGAGCAGGAGAAGGTGCTCTCTGTGTCTTGGAAAAGCAGGAGGGGTCTGTCTGTGTCTGAGAGGAGCAGGAAGGGGTATCTCTTTGTCAAGGAGTAGCAGGAGGGGGTGCTCTCTGTGTCTGGGAGGAGCAGGAGGGGGTGCTATATTTGTGTGGGAGGAGGAGGGGATGCTGTTTGTGTCTAGGAGAAGGAGGAGTGGGTGCTCTCTGGGTCTATGAGGAGCAGGAGGTGTTGCTCTCTGTGTCTAAGAGGAGCAGAAGGAGGTGCTATCTGTGTCTAGGAAGAGCAGGAGGGGTTCTTTCTGTGTCTGAGAGAAGCAGGAAGGGTGTCTTGTTGTCTAGGAGGAGAAGGACGGGGTGCTCTCTGTTTCTTGGAGGAGCAGGAGGGGGTGCTATCTTTGTGTGGGAGGAGCAGGAGGGGATAATGAGTGATCCTAATATGAAAGCTGGTACCGAAGCGACGGAATGCGTGAGGGATATGTAAACAAGCTCTTGTCCTACGATATACAGAGCCTTACTAGCTACTGGAAATGTCCACATAGTCCTTCAGGTGGAGAAAAGACGAATTAAATGTCGGGGCAATGACAAACATCATTGTGCCTCTATTTCTCTTGTTTAGGCTTTCTCGATTTCCTGTTTTGCATTTACAACATACATTATAAACATAATGTACATACTTTCGCTGCAGGAATGGCAACCGCGCCTGGACATATACAGATTGTTTCTGGCGAAATAGCAAAAGTACAGGTAAGTGTTAACCCTACCAATTCATAACTGTTTGATTGGCATCGTAAATCAGAAAACATAAAGAAAAACTTCATGGATAAAATCGTCTGGTTTATTGCATTGAATGACGTTTGTTGAACGACGTTTAATATAGATTCTTACACAGTTATCTACTTCAGCTTGACAACGGTATAGGAATCTACATCGAAATGTTTCTCAATTTAATATAGGATCAACCATTTGATATACTGGAGAGGGTGGGGGTGAGGCTGGGATTTTGTATCGAGATGACATATTTATTCAGCTACAGCTACAAAGCCAGATACTTTTTTTAAAGACAATGACTATTTTTGTGGCCGGCATTTTTTTCTTCAGTTTGAAGCATAATAATTCTTTTCACGAATTTTCTGTAAAATTTATTTTTTTCGATAAAATCCCTAAAGCAGAAATTGTTATTCATAAAGTTGTATGTTTTCTTATCTACCAATTCATTATTTTTGTTTTACAGTATTGATGTTATAACATACATTATTATATATTTCTTGTCAAGCAAGCCAAATGATTTTCTTGCAGGCTGACGTCCTGGTGAACACAACCGGGACTGATGTCAACCTCCTGGCTGGAACCGTCTCCTACACCTTTCTGGAGGCAGGAGGGAAGAGGCTGCAGGAGGAGCTGACCAGAGCATGTCCTTCTGGACTGAAAGTCGGCGGCGTAGCTGAGACCACGGGAGGGAAACTACAGTGCCAGAAGGTGTTCCACGTTGTGTTAAAGCAGTGGATGAATAATAAAGACACAGCTGAATCGGTATGGGTGTATACAGACTATATATGTATACTTCATATACTTTAAGTGCATGTATATAAAGGGAACTCTTAGTCACAAATACGTCAAGTGTATAAGACTAAAAGTTGTCTTACTACAATCAGTGGTAAGAAATTAATCCTCTGATTAAAATTTCATTTGTTTCAAGCGACATTTTGTGTATGGCAATAGAAGTTTATTACCATGTAAAGACAAATTTGGATATGATTTGGTTTATCCATATTAGTTTGTAAAACGTAATGTTTATATGACGTGGATATGGAAGCCAGTCACTTTACATCCAGGGAACATCACTGGCGAACTATGTATCATAACATAACTTATCGATCCTTTCCAAGATCCTGAGGAATGTCGTCACCCAGTGTCTGCAAAAAGCGTCCGAGGAAGGCTTCCAGAGCATTGCCTTCCCTGCTCTTGGCTCCGGCTTTCACAGGTTCCCTGGAAATAGGTCAGCTGACATTATGATCACAGCAGCTGATATGTTCTTGAAAACTGGTTCTTCTCTTACCTCAGTCACAATTGTCCTTCACCCATCGAACGATATATTAAGAAAGGTGAGACCAACGTTTTTTTAAATGTGGATATCTGGTGTAGAGACAAGTTTGAGTGAGCCTGGTCTTAGAACTTAGTGCTGACAAAAACAAAGATCAAAGTCAGGAAGAACCTACTTTCCACACTTTCTACCGATAATGCTCTGAACTGTGTTATGTGGATAGAGATTATTATAAAATTATTATTCTTACTACTCAAAGTTGCTTGGTTTTGTAGTCAGAAATTATACAGTAGACCCAGACTTCGAATTAGTCTTCTCGATATGTTGACATACTACTCAAAATGTGCTTAGGATCACCACTTTTAAAGGTAATGTGTCAAATTGTGTGCATCTATTGAAATAGCCAAAGACAACAATTCGTGAAGACATGTTTTATGAACAAACGTTAGTTGTCATGTGCCAACAAACAACATCTGATCAATAATCAGTCAGGACGCCCATCAAAATGAGTGTATATGAACAATACTAAAACGTAAAAAAATCACGGAAACAACATTATTGTCATCATGCCCATGACTGCATGCCTCTGTCCGTTTTCATGACATCGAGGTAATATAGGGGTTGACCAATCATTGTGCTCCGGGATATTTCAATCTCCAATTGTGGGATGATATTTTGATAATATCCACACTTGATCCTTAGCAACATATGAGTAGTATATACGGAAAAGAAAAATAGTATTAAGCGAACTTTTTGGTAATTCCTGAAATATAATATTTACAATACAGGAACACATGAAGGTAATCATCTTTTTATCATATAATATTAATTACTCTTAAAATATTTGAAGTTGAAGACATATTATTATTCACAATAGTAACTTAGAACAGGCCCATTTATGTTATTGTGTCAAATGATTTTCAGCCATGTTTGCCTACATTAGCACTCAAATCAGTGACCACTGTCTGATCATTTAGGTAATCGAGCAAGGTATTGAGCAAGTTGGTTTCACATCGATTTTCAGAGCTTACATTGGCATATGTATTGGATCGCGATACTACGTTAGTCAGTTTGGTATAACGCATCAATAACATGATACATTATATATTCTCTGCAAAAAAAAACTGCATAAGTGATTTTATATGTATATTTTATCTATCATACAAGTACTCAAAAGATGGTAATCGATTGTTCAAAATTGGCACATACCATTGTCATTGACCCAGGTTCCATAAGGCACACATGGAACAGTAGATTTGAAAGATGAAGGTCATCTGTTGAAGCACTCAGATCCTGAATTGTGGCCTGGGGAATTTTTAACGAATGTTCACCCACACTGCCTGTAGTATCTCTGCCGACTGTCAGAGGTTCGATGGTTGCGGCTGACGTGCTTGAAATCGTTGATCTGGTGCATCCAGTAAATGTTCGATTGGGTTTAAATCTGGACAGCTGGAGGGCCATGGCAGGACCTTTTTGGAAAATGACGTTTGCGTGAGGCATAATGGGAAGGACATGTGGTCGAAGAATCTTATCCCTTGTAACGTTCTGCTAATGACTTCTCCAGAACCTGCACCAAGTCTGTTCTACCATTTAGGAGATGGCTATCCAAATCATCACACTATCACCACCAAACCTGTCCACTTCATGTGTGCAGTTTCATGCATAACGTTCCCCGTAACGCCTGTAAACACAACCTCTACCATCTGCATGGCGAAAATTACAAATCATGACTCGTCAATAAAACAAACTTGTCTCCATCACAGTTGTGGCCATACTCTGTGACTCTGACACCATTGACGTCTAGCGCGCATTTCGTCAGCCCGCAATAAGTTCCTCATTGTCTATGGTGATATCCTATGCTACCTGGTATTGCCGTAGTTGTAGAGATTGTCGTGGTGGTCCTTTCAGGTAAGTGTCAGCTGTATGAATCTGTCATGTGCTGTGTTAGTGATACATGGTCGACCGGATCTGGGAAGGTCACGTTTTGTTCTGGTTGTCTGATATCGGTTCAACGGTCTTGAAATGGTGCTTGGTGCTACGTGGAAAAACCGGGCAGCAGCTGATTATGATTGCAGTCGGCCAATATGAGGACAGTCTGGCTGACAGTCTATTGCAAAATTGTGTTCAACTGCCAAGAACTACAGCTCTTAGAGTTTACTGCCAGTACTTTCACAGCTCATACACCAGTTGCTCTTTCAAGAAGCTATTATTATATATGTTGACATTCCGTCGAAGATAAACTCAATATAAAACAATTTGAAAGGATCATCACTACCATTTCCAACCCTTCCTCGCAAAATATTTAAAGGCATATCAACATTTTCAGGAATTTGAAGCAAGAAGCAATGGATGTCAGGTGACACATGCCAACACATTACTTAAGGAGGTTGCCCTAGCAAGCACAACTCGAGACACCAAAAGTAAATATGTTTCAATTTTTCGGACATGTAATGAATTTTAACAATAGTTTGCATACATTTGTTGTAGAGATATCATATTGAATATATAGGGGACCCACCATGCATATATAATATTCTGCGGTGGGGGACGGAATACTTCCCGTCCCAGTCATCTTCATCTGTGATAGGAATGGCATCTTTTTCATCAACAACACTAATATCTTCAGGGCATCCAGCAAGCCAAGTTGAAAACTTACAACTGTGGGTGAAACCGGAGGACATTGTTTGCATTTTTGTTGTAGAAAATATTTATAAAAATTCATCTGGCCCATAATTTGAAAGGATTGGTCGCTCGGTTTATTAACATGTAGAGATATTCTTTATAAGTGCCATTCAGGGTGTTTGTCACTTATTATATTATCTTTTGTTACATCCATTTAAATTTCTTAACATTACATCAACTTCATATGAATTGCTCCCCGTGAGGAATGTAGGACAGAACAATGTCGACTTCATGCTTGTCCATCAGTGATGTGACGTGTCATCTTACCTCGACAGTGTTTGACGTTGCTAATTCTTTTAAACGCCTGCTCGGAATCAATTATTTTTAACATCCAGCCTTGATATAATTGACATTATATTGTTAATTCACAAAAAGTGTTAGGCCGTAGGACTTTTACACAGAACTATTTACAGAGAGAGGGAGAAAAAAGAATTACCACTATTTTACATATATATCCATATCCATACACACTCATATACATACACATGCATATATACAAATAAATATTTAGACTGTATGCAATGAACGAAGTCGAAAAGCTTTGTAAACGTGGACTGCTAGATTTCTTATGATTTTAAAGTTAGTGGATGACATAAGAGCATTAAATTTATATTTAGAAGGGGTTGTTAAATATTTAGGAGGAATGTATTCAGCTCTTATATCACTATAAGCATTGCATATAAGCACAAAAAGATATTCTCAATAAAATTCTGGTTACGAATAAAACTGTCTCTGTTCTCTAATTTCCTTAATATATCGACTGGTCTCAATTCGCAGCCGATGGGAGGAGCATCTCAACTGAGCAAGTGTAGCTCTGAATTTTTAAACATTTGCTACATTGATATAGCTTTCTAAGCCAAATGAAATTTTGTAAAGAGAGTAACTGTGGGATTTAGTGCTAGATGAAATAGCTGCATGCCAATCTTGCTCAGATGAGGCTTTTAAACAGTTTACAAATTCCGAAATAAAACTTCTACTATTATTACTAAATTGCATCTCCCATATGTAGCCAAAACCAAACGAATAGAGAATGTGTTTGATTTTAGAGACCCAGTTGATCTTACCATTATTAGCATCAAGTAGTAATAATCTATAACATTTCTTAACTAATCTATTTTCAGGCAAATGTAAAATTCTGTACCAATAAGTAACTACACGCTTATAAGCACATATGTAAATAGGATACCTTCCGCATTCCCCCCTTACCACATGATTTGATAAAGATTGTTTAACCCCAAGAAAGCGTTTACATGCTAGTACCTTGATTTGCTCTAATTCTTTGTAAGTATCTACACCCCAAATCTCGGCACCGTATAAAAGAATTGGAGATATTTTAGAAAAAAAAATCTTGAAAAACAAGTCATAAGGAAGAGGTTGAAGCATTTTTAGAGACTTAATGACACCAAATAGGACCTTTTTAGCTTGTAAAGCAGCACTATTAACATGCAAAGACCAGGAGAGAGTTTTTGAAAGAATGGTACCGAGATATTTATAAGAACTTACACACTGAAGTTTTTTACCCTTGTAATACCACTTTTCATATTTTGATAAAATACCCCCATTTTTAAATACCACTACCTTAGTTTTATCCAAGTTGACTGTCAGATGATAGTTACTACAAACACTTCCCAGAGCTTTTATGCGTTTTTGAAGGCCATAAACAGTATCAGCAATATATGCAACATCAGCAGCAAACAAAAGAAAAATTTGTACAGTGTCAGGTTGTAGCTGTACACCTGGAGTGCATGTTGATTCTATATACAAAGCTAAGTCGTTTATAAAAATATTTTAAAAAAATGGGCTCATTATGCAGCCTTGCCAAAGTCCTAGAGGGCAATCAAAACATTCTGTAAAACAATTTCTGATCTTAACACAGCTTTTAACACAGGAATAGATGGATTCTAATGCATTTAACATTTTTTGGGACACACCTCTGGATTTAAGAACTAGCCATAGTTTAGATCTATTTACCAAATCGAAAGCCTTTTTAAAGTCAACAAAAAGAACATACAATTTACCACGCTTCTAAGACAAATAATGCTGGATTACAGACTGCAGAATAAATATATTATCAATAGTACTATAACCTTTCCTAAAACCAGCTTGAGAGTCATACGCATTTTATCATACGCATCAGACCAGAATGTTAGTCTTGAATTAAGTATAGATACATAAAGTTTACAAAAAGTGCTGAGCAAGGAGATACCACGGTAGTTATTGGGGTTTGAGTAATTGCCCTTCTTATGCAGAGGTATGATAACACCAGTACACCACGACTCAGGAAACGAACCATTTTCAAATAAAATGTTAAACAAGGTTGTTAGGTATGGTACTATTAAATCACTTGATGCTTTGAAAATATCAGAAATAAGAGAATCATTTCCTGGCGACTTACATTTTTTTAATTGATTGATAGCTTGCAACACTTCATCTTCAGTTATACGGCTGTCAAGGATAGAACATGTGTCATCATCAAAAGGATAATCTACACCATCTTCTATGGTATCATGAGAAAAGACGGTATGCATATCTTGGAATAAGTTTTTAAAATGCGAAAACCAGTCACTAATGAGGATAGACGATTCCCTTTCTTCAACACCAGTGTATTTCTTAACATTTCCCGAAATGTTTTGCAGTTATTGATACTGGATAAAAGTCTGTCACGAGTCAAATCATTAAAAGCTCTTGAGCTGTCGTCGCACCCCTATGTTTTTTACCCTTGTTGCGTCGTGAACGGGGAGAACGTCCCTAATTACCCACTCTGTCGTTGCCAATGTCGATGCTGCTACCTGTATTATCAGAGCCCACGTTTCCCTGGTTGCTGTCGTCACGAGGGGGGCGTCGGTCTGTAACGAATAGCTTGCCATACTTGTAGTAGCCGAATTTGTTGGCGTCCTTCAGCTCCTGCAGCTTCTCCCGTTTGCGTTTCGTCAAGTCACTGGATATGCCAAATTTCCTTGACTTAAGTTTTTCACGGAGACCAAGCGCCCATACTTTGTCTTCTGAATATAAGAACTTAACTATCATCGGTTTGGGCGATTTACCACTCTTGTTACCCAATCTGTGTGCAGCTATAATACTATCGGCGCCGATAGGTTTAGAGTTTTCATCTTCACTCGCACAGGCATTTAACACATCACACACATAATTCTTACATGCGTTGGTAGTTTCGCGGGTTTTTTCAGACAGTCCATACAAGATAACATATTTATAACAGATATATTTGACATATTGCTGGCTACACATAAACAACAACATCACCCAGGCACTAAGATGTTAATTACACACTGTTACTGTTTCATTGGCTGCAGGTCTGACGATCAGGTTTATTCTGGGGTTTCTTGCTCAGACCAAGGTATGTTCAGAAAAGTATTTAGTTATAATAAACACAATATGTTACCATTTATAATCTTGATCTACATACAAACTACTGAAAATGATAAATAATCAACAACTGAAAGTAATTAGTAGGTAACAAGAGAGAAAAAGGTCCATAATATGCATTCTTATGACATAACGTCAAACGTTTAGGCTGATGCCCTGGTCAACACAACCCAGGCTGACCTGAATCTGTCCGTTGGTGCCGTGTCTGGATCTCTCCTTGAAGCTGGAGGTCGGGTGCTCCAAGACGAGTGCAGACAGCAGTACCCATCGGGTGTAAAGGCAGGGACAGTTGTACTGACACGAGGTGGGAAGCTTGCATGCAAGAAAGTATTCCATGTCGTTCTAGAAGAGTGGGCACAGAAGAACAAGAAAACACTGGAGGTAAGTAATAACCGTCCATCATATACAACACTTGGTACAAAACACTGACCGACAATGACGTACATCTTATGTAAAGCAGCATAACCGGTGTGGACTACCAAATGTAAATATAGCTGATGTAATGGTGAGATGCTATTAAAGCTGTGAATATTAATGTGAATACAAAGACACAAACAGATGTATTAGTTTGTTTGTTTCTTTGTTGTTAAACGCCGCACTCAGCATTATTTCAGCTATATGACAGCGGTCTGTAAATAATCGAGTATAGACCAGACAATCCAGTGATTGTCATAATGAACGTCGATCCACGCAGTTGGGATCGATGACATGTATGAAACCAAGTCAGCGAGCCTGACCACACGATTCCGTTGGTCGCCTCTTACGACAAGCATAGTCGTCTTTTACAGCAAGTATGGTTTGCTGAAGTCCGACTCTACCTCGGATTTTCAGATGTATTAAACTGATATGCATGTGTCGCGGTTACTGTAAAATATTGAATATTTTTAGTTAGACATGAATTTATAGTGTGAAGGTTGATATTCTTGCACGTATCCTAATATATCAAAGATGGTCCATGATAATGAGATAATATGAACACAATCTGCTACTACTTCAATCAGCTTTCGACGTGGCTGCATTTTTTACGTCCGATTTACATTGTGATATATTTGTGTCTTTTTAAAAAAATGTATAATTCAATGTATTTGTTCATGTTCGACAGAACCTTGCATCAATAGTAACAAAATGTTTAGAAGAGGCATCAAAGCAGAGCTTCAAATCAATCGGCTTTCCAATTCTGGGAACTGGTTATGCTGGATATCCCCCTGAAACGTCAGCCACAGTCATGATGTCAGCATTCAAGAATTTCATAGACAACCATCTAAACACCTCCCTGGAAACTGTATCTGTTGTTGTTCATCCGAAGGACGAAAGCCTAAGAAAGGTGCATATATTTGGACAGTGACACATAATGTATTATACGCATTATTATATAACATGCAGGTTATCTTCATTCAAATTGCAAACATATATGCATATATTTAAAAGAAATACGTAATACATAATTTCAGAATTATTTTACGATTGTAAACTCACCTGACTTTGTTTTATGGTCTGGTTCTCCATTGTAAACTTTGAAAACATGGCCTTTACTTTTTTACTTTTCTCTATTTAAGAAATGGAATGAAATGTTGATGTGTTGTTTATAGTGGGGCTCGTTTTGTTCCGTTTTTTTGGTTGCAATATTTTAAATGTTAAACTGAATATTATGATCGCTTTTTCACTGGCTCGACCTGCAAACGTCACCTCCTCTTTAACACCTGAATCTGCACATTTAAAAGTTAGTTTTTGTGAAACCTATATGGCATAAGAAACTAATTTCCATATAATGCACACTTGGCCGAGAGTACTTCATAAAAATAATTTAACTGTTGTGCATTGATACAATGTTGTTGAACAGTACATGTACATATTACATCCATTGTTTCAGATTCAGAAACATTGTTAAAATTAAGTTGCTGGTTTAATATTTATCAGCTCGTAATTTCAAAATGAATGTACAAAATATTCATATATCAATGCTGATAGCAACGCATGTGTGTTGTTAGTTTGTTGTTTAACGCCAACGGTCTGAAACTAACCGAGTTTAGACCAGACAATCCAGTGACTGACACCTTGAGTTTTTTGTGTAGATTGTAGAAGCACACGTTAGCAAGATCGAAGAACAAAGTAAGTATTCCCTGTCTCTTAACATTATCCTCATCCTCATCCTCATATTCATCCAATGATCCAATACATCGAAAGCATCTATTTGAATATTGTTAAAATGGAGTCACATGGTTTGCTTGAGTAGTATAGATGATGGGGGTACTGGACCACCCCCATCTGGACTGGGACCAGCTCCTGCAAATGCTTACATGGGTTCTTAAGTTTTGTGATGACCATCCAATGATCGTCATATATCAATATACAACTCTATATCGAGGAAACCTTTAAACAAAATAATAATGAAAATATTCCCAATTATTTTTACCAATACACAATTGATTACCATATTTGGATAGCTTCGCATCCGTGATAAGATATACGCCTTGCGGTAATTCTTGCCATTGATAATTTTGGTGTGGCACATAAGTGGCCCGGCAGCTTTCCCAAGTCCTTGTGTTAGCGTGTTATTGTCCATTGTTATACACTTATGTGTACATTTATCTGAACAGATTTTTTTGTAGTAACGGAACACCAATATTTATTAATAATGGCTAACATTTACTATAGCCTGAAAGGATGTTGGAAAGGTAAAGGGGAAATACAAAACCTAGTTGCAGCGGCTAAGATATCTAAAGATGTTGCTAAGGATTGATTGAAGAAACAAGCAATACAACAAATACACTTGCCACCACCAAGATATATACTGAGGAAAATGTTTGATATTTTCACAACTGATGAAATTCATCAGGCCGACCTCTTGTTTCTTCTGCATGATAAGGTAAGGTAAGATGTAGCTAGTCAGCACAAAGAGGCTGAAACATTAACCTAATGCACTGGGCTACATATATAAATGTGAGCTGCATAAGTTATTTCGAGTAGATCCCGGACGCGAGTTTATGGGATCAGTTGCTAAACTATTAACAAAGCATGATGTCACAATTAGGCGTGGTGAAAAAGAGGTCCATCGTAGCCAGGTTATTGTTGGAAAGATTTAACTGAACATTAGCAGAATATTCATGATTGTGGGTTCAAATCCCGGTTCTCCCCGATTATGTTTCTAGGTTTGTCAGCACCATACCCGTACTCATGGGTTTCACCGAAGTGGTAAACGTCTGAGACCTTCATCACTTCGGGCGTTCCTCCCACATTAAGCTGACACGTCGTGATATAACTGTACTACTCTTAAAAGCGGCGTTAAACCAAACTCTCTGTCACTTATAGTTATAGAATGCCTGACCTCATGCATACCAAACATACGTGTAGCCCGTCTGCCTTCATGCATACCACACATAAAACTTTAAAGCCTGCCTGCATTCATGCATACCACACACAGTTGTATCCTGCGCTCTCGATGGCACTCATCACAACAACATACAAGAGTCAGTTCACCTGAAAAGACACGTGAAGGAATAATAGCATTTAACTCACTGATGTTTTAAATGTACTCCACATATGCCCTGAATTCCGTAAACCTGATCTAACAACTTTTGAACAAGAATCGTATGACGCTCTTTGAAATCATCGAAGAACGAGCATGATAGATTATAGTTCAAATATTTGGATTTGCTGGAATATTGCTGGACATGAATAGAAAGTTGACTGTTGGAAAGTGGAAATAATCAATGTTTCATACATTCTTGAGGATAGTTTTTGTCACTGGATCTTTATGCATAGATATTAATATGAACAATAATGGTCGCTTTCAGGGGTCCTTTTTATTCCTAGTTCACGTGGTTAAAACAGTAGTAGGGATTTGGCTGCTTGACCAATATTGAAAGATATCAGATCATTGATATACCTGAACCCTTAGATAAGCTTCCTAGCCAAATTTAACAAATAAAATATAATCCGATACTGCCAAGACTGGTCAAGCAGTCTCTTTCTCCTTGGAAGAAGACGAAGCAGACAATGTAGATGGAATTACATATTAGTGCTGTGCTGTGAAACAGTCAGGTTGTGACAGTTTTTACTTTTATTTGTTTATAGGTGATTCATCAACGAATGCATCGATCGGTGGCTTAATAAGAGTAAGTATTGCCTTTTATTACAAAAAATAGTTTATTCTTAGCATTTACATTTACTATTTCTATGGTATCATTTCGTTTCACTAACGCGGGCACAAAACATTATATGTCGGCAAAAAATAAGTTTGTTTGGGCTTTGTATATCTATAAGTGATACACAATGAAATTCATTCTTTTCACATACCAAACAAAATAAGTCAACAATAGACAACGTTTACTTCAAGATGTTTTCAAAGATAGTGAGATTCATCAAAGTTGAAAAAAACAAACAATATTTAATATCACTCATAATGCAATAAGTAATAATATCAGTGCACCTGTATCAACCTATTTATTTTCATGTCCAAAAACAGACGTTTGTCTGCTCATTTCTCTGGAGAGCATTTATGCCAGCCATCTCCTTCACAATGTCACACTCACACAGCGGATCGCTCTTTGCTGGATATCCAGTCGAAACGTCCACACTTGTCACTGGAGAAAAGGAAGCTTTGGAAGGAAGTGAGGTCAGGTATTTTGATCTGACAAACAGTCCCATCAATGGCAAGACGCCAGAGTACAATCACTACAGAGAGGTCGAGTCTCAGTTCTTCAGTTTCTTATCTAAAGACAATGTCAACAGGTGAGCAGGTGGTAACACTAGGCATGCTAATAAATACCCTATTGACACATGTACAGCAACAGCTGTATTTATATGGAATTCTACTATGTCATTGAAGAATGCTTGAGTTTGATTGGTTCAAAAGAGGTATCCCCTTACTAGCATTTTCTCACAAAATGTGCTTATGAATATCTCTATATAGCACGCAGATCGAAAAGTGGCTCGGTTCCAAATTAACACAAGAGGTATCTACTGCATGAATTTTATAAACACAGTAGGTTTATCTCCTAATTACAGTAGCTGAATCGATCAAAAGAGGTCCTGCACATTCAGTTTGCTCACAAACATTCACACAGTATGCGTTCGTTTGTTGACTAACGCCATAACTTGGGAGGATATATATATGTGTCTGTGTGTGTTTGTGTCTGTGTATAGGTTTACATATTTTCATTTGCAGACACACGTTCAGTTTGACAAAAGTGGAATATGTGGTGAATCCTACACTTTTCAAGAGATTCAGGTAAGCATACATAGATTTATACCATATAATCTACTGTCACATGTGGTATTTATTAATTTTTATATAAAATACATCATATGACCAAGATTGGTAGTCAGCAGCAGGATGGTGTACCTTTTTTCAGAGCAGCACAAAGACGAATGGCTAAAAAGCAATCTGGATTTGAAAAACCCGTTCTTGGTTTCCACGGAACTGAAGAATCCAGCATTAAAAGTATCTGCAATGAAGGATTTCGGCAACCAGGTCTGTTCATAAAGATCATACTCAGTTGTGAAGCTCAATATGTTAAGATAGTAAATAGTTATGTAGTTGAAATCACGAAGTTAGAATATATAGACATATAATCTTAGCGAACGCTTGGAGTTTGTGCGTGTGGAAGTTAAAAACCACAATTTGATGTCTAAAGACGCCGTAGGAGATTAATTAAATCAATTGAAAGATTTGCGTCCCTTCTACGTAAGACACATTTGCAGATACTATTCGCTTTCAGACCACCCCAAGTTCGAAAAAGCCACTGACGTTGGATGGTACGGTAATGGCATCTACTTCAGTAAATACCCAAGGTTTTCCATGAATTATATGAAGAGGTCTTGCAAGCTGTTACTTTGCAAAGTTCTTCAAGGAAAGGTTAGCTTCCAAGTATGGAAATATTTTATAAACAAAATGATTATTTCATGATTTGCTACCAAACACGACCACACATGTTATCTAATTAACAATAGTAAGCGTGTTAATGACAAATCAATCAGAAAATAACGAATGCTACGACGAATTACGCAGCGTTGCGTCCCTTGGGCAAACCAGATTGTTGGTTCGAAACCCGGTTCGAACTGATTATGTTTCTAGGTTTGTCAGCACCATACCCGTGCTCGTGGGTTTCACTGAAGTGGTAAACGTCTGAGACCTGCATCACTTCAGGCTTTCCTCTCACATTAAGCTGACACGCCATGATATAACTGTGCTACTGTTAAAAGCGGCGTTAAGCACAACTCTCTCATTCTCTCTCCATAGTGAGCAAATGTTGTTTACCCAAACAAGTTATGGATAGTGTTTCGTCGCTGTTTTGACAGCATTCCTTATCGAGGAACTAATAATCTGTACTTCCGAGTTTTGAGTAGGTTACTCTGTTTGACTCATGTCATTTAAATAATAATGATAATAAAAGTGACAAAACCCTATCAATATTCAGAAGAAGGGAAATGAAAGAAAACGTATGAAATGTCAACCTCAAAAAGAAACTTTACTTTAGTTAGTATACAAGGATAACATAAGGCAGTGGCGAAAAAACCCAGCACAAATTCGAACCTTAGAAATAATACAAAATGTCCTCCAGAAGGAAAATCACAACAATCATGTGTGTTGATATAAGACACAGCTAGAAGTTAACAATTGTTTCATTGCTTGACAAAGCTGCCTTTGTAAATTTTATAATTTCATGCATGTAAAATGACACGAAATTTCAAAATATTGCGTAGAAGATCAAACAGAGATCAAAATCATCGTCAAAGTTGACATTAATTCGAAACTGTTAATTAAGGTGAACCAAAGCATCACATTAATCCGTTAACAAGTGATGATCCAAGAATTACTTGGGCTAAATTTCGGTCTAGACCATGTTCACCTGGGTCATTATCCTCCGCCAAGGAGTGGAGAATATAGGAATGGAGTTCGTCTTTCGTCCGTCCGTCCGCTTCTAAAAGGAAACATATATTCTCAAAAAACTATTTAAGTTAGTGAAATTTTACACGCTTATATTACTGGTCATGATCTTAAATGAGTTCGAAAATTGATACCTTAAATTCATTTCTACAGAGTTATGGCCCTTGCTCCGTGCTTTTCAACTTAGTGCATATTGTATGCAATGGGGACAAGGCTTTCTCAGAAACTATTGAAGTTACATGAATGAAAGTTGCATACTTATCTAAGAGATACTTGTCAAGACAGAGTTCGAAAATTGTTGCCGTAAAGTATTGTGTTACAGAGTTAAAGCCCTTTCTCCATGCTTTTCAACTAAGTGCATAATGTCTGCGAGGGGACAAGTTTTCTCAGAAACTATTCACGTTACATGTTTGAAACTTTGCAGGCTTATCTATGAGGTACTTGTCATGACTGTGTTCGAAAATTGGTCAAGTAAATTATATTTTTCCAGAGTTACTTCCCTTGCTACAAGTTTTAGATTTTGAGCATACACAGTTACAGCCCTTGATCCATGTTATTTAACCAAGTGCATAGTGTCTGCAGTTGGTATAAATTTTCCAAGAAACTAATGAAGTTAGCTTAACTAAGAGATACTTATCAAGATTGAGTTCGAGAATTGGTGCCATAAATTATTTTTTTCCAGATAAGGGGCCTTTTGTGTGTATAAGTTTCACATTTAATCATTTTTTTCTGATGAAATAAAGACCCTAGTGTCTTCTTAATGCTGTATATGACTATTTGTATAGTTTATATCCACTACTCTATTTACAAATAAAATTCTAATGTGCCGCATGGTGGGAGATAGTGATAACGCTGTTTTCTGGCTACCCTCAGACTAATCTTAATATCAGCAACCATGGCAGGTATGTGTTGTTCAAATACATGGGTTTCTATTATGTGCATAAACCAGTCCCACATTCAAGCCACTGTAAAGGAAACGTACTGAGCAAGCATTGTTACATATTCTATTCAACATGCATGGTGTTCCAGATCTTCAAATGTGAGGAAATGAATTTGGGCGCGCCTAAGGAGCCAGGATACGACTCCCACGTTGACCCGTTTGGCAAAGAAATTGTCATCTATGAGGATGACTGCATCCTCCCCTGCTACATTGTGCACTTCGACATCTCAGGGAGGTTTAAGCACTCAGAAGATAGGGCATCGCCACAGGATGATGATCACACTCTTAGTCAGTATATGAAAGAAATGGGCATGCATAAAGGAGAAAAGTTTCCAGGATCCTGAATGCGTATCCATCATATCGATGGAGACTTCCGTGAAGTTGACCACAACCTTGCAAAAGAAGGATAGCATAGCATACTCGTGTCCTCCTTATTTCAAGCTATTCCCATGCGCATTTTGTGGCACATGTTACATACTTATCATAACTCGTTAAAGAATCGAGCTTTCTGATTGGCCAGATGACCATCTCGTTAAAATCCCATACAAGTCAGCTGGCCGGCCTTTACGGACATCATGACGTCATGAGGTTTGATGTGACCACACTCGCTTGTCAATTCACAATTTGATCTTATTTGTTCTTCGAAATTTCATGTTGAGAGTCCTCAGGCGGTATCAAGATAGATTTTATTGTCACTCCAAAAAGATTAATCAAACCTTACCCTTTGGAATGTGTTCGCCATGATAAGCGACGAATTGTCACTGCACTGTATCATTATCATGTGTTTCTGAATCATTATCAGATAGTGATGATATATATATATAGCAAGTGTTCGCGGTTGCTTATACACTGAGTTATGTTTGAGAATGGCTTGTTTATTGTACATGAAATCCCCTTCGATAAATATGGCGTCTGTGGAGGTCAGAGGTCAAAGTTGACCTTGATTACGTCTTACTAGAACATTACGAGGCATTGTTTTATATCTAGGGATTAAGATTACCTTGTGTATTTTCTCGGTATAATAACGGTGAGTTGTGCGATTTTCCGATCGCTTCACACACGATTTCGCCGAAATTAATAAAAACATTATTTTAAGGAATTTTGTCATGAGTTGCATAATTGAAGGGAAGTAACTTTTCCAGTAAGAAGCTGGTTTCAGTTATACGGAAATTCGTTTATACGGACGAATTGTGAAATGTCTCAAGTGTCCGTATAAACGAGGCACGACTGTACACTAAATAATGGTCCGAACTCTCAACTGATTGTGTGGCCTGCCTCCTTTCTCCTTTCTATGAGTACAAATATGAGATTGCGTGTAATACAAACGAAGATGTACATGTGGCAATCCGTTGTTTATTAAACTCATCACCACGTACATTATATACACTTTTTTGTATATTAAACAGAATAGATGATATGTATAAAGATTTCTGAGTCATGAAAAATGAAAAAATATCAAGAAGTATGCTAATGCCTACCACTATATCCCTCTATAGATCAATGGAGTGCATATTATTATAACAGTTACTGTTTACATCGCAATGTTAACTCAACCAAACATCACGAGATATTACATTTGCAATACATAACATTCATTTGTAATAGAAATCATATTTAGCTGAAATAGCTGCTAATTGTTTGGCATGAAGGCAACACAATGTACACTGTTTGATCAGTGCTAAAATTCAATCTACACTTGGTACATTTTAAACAAAAATAACTGTCTCACGAATTATGTTTTATTGTTAAACATCCTTTGTATTTAGAAATGTCAAATGCTAAGCATCAATCTTCATTTGGAACAGTTAACACAAACACTACTGTCTCACGAATTATGTTTTTTATTGTTAAACATCCTTTTAATTTAGAAATGTCAAATGCTAAGTATCAATCTACACCTGGCACATTTTACACAAGAATGACTGTCTCACGATTTATGTTTCATTGTTAAACATCCTTTTTATTTAGAAATGTCAAATGCTAAGTATCAATCTTCATTTGGTATATTTTACACAAGAATGACTGTCTCACGAATTATGTTTTATTGTTAAACATCCTTTTTATTTAGAAATGTCAGGATAGCGTTTAACCAAGATTGTGTTTCCTGGTCTTTTCGTGTTGACATCAGACTGATCTGTATATGTAGATCTTTCTCGCTTTCGTCGCTGTCAAGACTGTTTTGACTAACCACTGGTTCGTATAGATATGGATGGATATGTGTAACATTCAACGTTTTCATCGACGGCATACCGAACGCTAGTAATCTATCAAACTCAATACAGAAACTGCACGTCATCTCTCTTCTATGACGTCATGTCACGTGATGACAACTCTGCTCTTTAACTCTCTGTTGTTTCCGGAATACGAGTAGGTTTCAACGTTTTTTTGTCACAAATATTGCCTTGAGAATTATTTCCTTCAAGGCACTTCTTTTAATAAGCTTAATAAATTATTTAATTCCATATTTATAGTTTACTGTAAATGTCCTTTAAGGTGTAGTTATGTGATAACCATAAATAATTGCGCTTCTGTTCAAGTCAATTCTCAAGGTTTATCAATTCACTACAAACATAAACACATGTGTTTGAACACAAATTATCGGAAATACCCATTGCATGTATGTTCTAATCTATTCAGTAATTTAAAGTAACACTCATGTTGATAAATATGTATATGTATGTCTTTAATCTAGTTAATCTTTTTGTTTGATTAAATGTAAGTGCAAATGCCTTAACTGTTTTTTGGGCTAGCACACTAACTGTCAAAAGTTGTGTTTGTTCTGAAGTCTTTAATGATTCAATTCCAATGACTTTACTTCGATTTCTTTATTATTAATTATTGTGAGAATATATAGTTGTATTACAATGACTGGTGGTGCACTTCTTTTACTATGTACATTATATCTGCCGTAAATAAACATCTAGAAATCTGTCTTTGCCTTGTGTTAATGTCATGATAACTCATCGGCAGTCTTTCCTTATCCAGCTTTTACTTAAACTTGAACATTATGGAAGTGTAACATTATCACCCCCCCACCCCCCCACCCCCCCAAAGCAAGGTCTGGCATCAGTGTGTGTATCACCTTAGTATACACAATTTTGATGATGGTTGTTTGTAATTGCTTTAGAAGAAAATTCAGAAGAAATTTCATTACCTTTGCACTCGACTGCTTTCCTGATTAAAGCAGTTACAGATTCCGTATCAATGGTGCGGCTACTTTCAACAACATTAAAAAGCAATACATGAAACGGACAATTGGGTTCAGCTGGCCTGTAAACTTGCTGCTCCAGGTTGGTTATACACACGAGTAACAACACAACAATGTTGTATTTTCAATACACTGTAGATCAAACTGACGTGATGAACGGTCACACGTAAGCAGATACATTACCATTTAACGTTTATTTTTGTTATGCTAATTTGGGCATTGTGTAGATGGTAGAAGTGGCTATTCCATTTGGATACTTCTCCTGCTTCATTTAAGCAAACTACTAACTGACAATCACACGACTTTGGTATATCAGTATTACGTAGCTACATGTCCGAAAGACAAAATACTTACTGGATATCATAACTGGTGACACTGGAATAATCGATAAAAACATAACAATGTCACACGTTCTCACTGCAAATGAAGAAAATGAGTTATACAAATCAATACAAACATCTACGCTCTTAGGAGATTAATATGCAAAAACGTCATGAAATAGGCCAAAAAATGTTAATTACCATACTTTATCGCTGAAAGGTTTACTTTGACGAGGCATCTGGGAACTTGACAAGGGTAAGTGACACGGACACAAGTCTGTAATATTACAATGTGTTTTTGGAGGTAAAACAATGCAATCATGCTGACAAGTATTGATTTCAAAATATGAAATATGTACCTAGTAGATATTAGAAGTAACGACTCAGTGCTAAATACTACGATAAATAGGAAATAGTTACACCAAATACATAATCATTTTCCAGCTTAAATTTTGTATCATTCATATTTCCTGGAATTCGTTCTTTTGAGGATAGTTTTACGCTCAGTATTAGAGGGTATTGCACTCATTTATGTATTGAAGTACAAAAATATTCTATATATAACACAACCTTTTAGTGAAGCTTTCTGAAGTTAATGTAAGTATATAATATATTATAATGATCACATTTTCCCGTTATAACACTGAAAAAAAAGAATAAAGTCTTAAGTAATTCTTAGTATGAAAGAATTGTGTAACTCAAGACAGATTCTTACAATATCTGTATTTACACCAAAACAACATTTCCATATTCGAACCAGATACACAACTCAGACCTGTGTTTTTTAACATTTACAGACCAGCCGCTATCAAGATAGCATACAGTCATGAAGATAGTGATCGAATTCATGTTTGTCGTTGTTTCCATGGCAATACGTGTTCATTGCACGATCGACATCCATCTTTTCGGACTGTTCCTAATGGAAGTCAGTACACAGGTGGGTTTGCATAGTTGCTGTGAGCCACGATGGCCGTGGACTACATCTACAAACTCCAGGACATTCTACCCGGTAACAGGCTGCATATGAAGTGGAATAACTCCACAGTGGTTAAAGAAACATAAATTAAACACGTTAAATACTCATACAGAGTACATATTTACACCCAAAAAATCCTATTAAGTTTCGTTGTTGTTTAAAAGGCAACAAACAAGTGTCCTGATCCCACGGCTAACGCTCATGCATATTGCAATCCAAGCTCGAGGACTTCGACGTCATAGTGGAGAGACGTCCGCCATTTTGTTTAGTTTACAGACACATGCATGATAAATTTATAGTCGAAATCGTACACTAGACTCTTCTTTCGGCAAATATTTCTTTTGAATATGGAAACGGCTTTGTCGCTTACATTTCCAATTGTTTACGTCACACTTGTTTCAGAACTGTTTGTCAGAACGATGACCGGAGATCTGATGCAGCTTGTGGTAAAACTTCAGCAAGTTCATCCCCAAGTAAAGTGTTCAGCGTATAACTGTTGTCAATTTGTATTGTCATATGCCATACGTTTTATTATATTACTCTATTTTACCCTCAAATTCAAATCTTACACAATTTCTCAAACTATTACAATTCTATTTTCGTAATAATCTTAATACTGTGTATCAGATTTCTCTTGTTGCACCGATTTTTCAAACAAAATAATGTATCTGGTTCAATGTATGTTCAAGCCGAATATTGTTTATTTTAATAACCAAGTAAGAATTTGTAAGTACTTAAGCATATGAAATCAACGAAAGAAGGTCCAAATGAGAATGTTTTTCAACGCCATAACATTCACTAAATGATTAGATAGTGTACATGTGTCAATGAAACATGCCTGCAAATCATATGATACTATATGATACATGTTTCGGTTCGCTCAGGCTTTGTATTCCAACTAAGTCACCATCGTGAATAACATTATGTCTTAAACTTCGATTATTTTACGAATAACATTACATGATAAAAAGATTATTACCTTCGTCTGTTTCTGTTTTGTTAATATAACAATAGAAATTGCCAAAGGCTCGCTTGATACATTTCTTAATATATTTCTTAAATATGATTGTATCAAAATTAGCTCTTCCTGACTATGATCCTTGATTTTATCTGCATCAAGGCCTGAGACCAGCCGCACTCACACTTGTTCTATGCACCAGGTATTAACATGTACAAACTTTGTTCTCACCTTTCTAAATATATTGTTTGATGGATGGAGGACAACTGTGATTGACGTAAACGTAAAAGAAGAAGCAGTTTTACAGAAAACTTTAGCTGCTGTAATCATAATGTCAGCCGACCGACTTCCAGGGAATCTGTGAAAGCCGGGGCGAAGAGCCGGGAAGGCAATGTTCTTGAAGCCTTCCTCAGACGATATTTGCAGACACTTGGTGCCTATATTCTCCAGGATCTTATGAAAAGAGTGATAAGTTCTGTAATGATGAATGAACATGTGGTGCTAAAACTATTGCTCCAACATAAAAGTTTCGTTTTACGCTAGACATAGAGTGCACCTC